CAATGGTGGGCCCCGGGTGCGGGCTGCCCCCCCCGCCCCTCCCTTGTGACGCCACTGGCCACCCCCCCCCCCTTGTGACGTCACCTTGAAAGCGACAGTCAGGCTGGTGGGCAAAGAGGGCTGTAGATGGATGATACTGGATGTCCTCCAGCCAGAAAATGGGGTGGGCTGTATGAGCTCAATTAGCTAATCCCTCATATCACGCTGATGAACTAATCAAACATGTCACTTTGATCTCTCCTCCTATCAGCACGCTCCTTGCTTTGTAGCATACTTGATTGACAACTTGTACTAGTTACTTCCACCGCGTGCATATACATTTAATGATGTACTAAGAACTACAGAGCTGCATTCATGTGTGCCTTTTATATCTGCATTGAGTTTCATTCTAAAGTTAAAAAAAAAATGATATTAAGCTTCAGCAGCTTTTTCTGGATCAGCACAGAATGCATACAAGCAAAATATATTTATGCCCGCCTCCCCCACCATGCCGGTACCATGCTGTACAGTAATCTAAGGGAGCAGATCATTTACAAATGTGACAATCAGACTATATTACATAAGAAGCTGTATCTGTGTAGACACAAGACAACGTTATTATTGGCCACAACATTATTTTGGTTGAGCTGCTGGTTCTGGAACATTTTGGTTAGCTGGGTGAATAATTTATTTCTTTGTTCTCGATGATTGTATGACATCACACCACAGATGGCTCAGATTCCTTTATACACGCAGCAACGGCAAATGTCCACTAGAGGGAGCTACTAGTAAGTGGCCTACACGCTCCCGAAGAGAGATGTGATGAGAAATCCGCAATTTTACAAATATTTTAGAAAATGTTGAGAAATTAGAAATAAAAACATTTAAGAAAAATGTAGAAATATTTAGGGAAAATCTAATGCAGACATCTGTTCTGTCGAAGACTTCTTGTTTAGTCGCTGGAACAAGAACGTAGGAAAAATCTCCTCAATGGGACCAAGACAGCTACCCCTGGCCAAAAAATACCTGATAGGGGTGTTGCATCAGCAGTGTTTTAAAGGAGAACTATGGGGTCAGTGTTTTTCCCCATAGTTCTCCTTAGGGTAACGAGAGGACACAAACTAGCGTCCTTCCGTCACCCTAAGCTCAGTATACCGCGAGCTACAGCTCGCGGTATACTGAGACGCCGCAGCCGGAGCGGATCCCGACATCGATGTCGAGATCCGCCCAGCTGCGTGAGTGACAGCTGGCTCTGCCTATCTAGAGGCAGAGCCAGCTGTACCCGCCCCCTCCCCCGTCCGTTCCGCCAGTCAGCGCTGGCAGATCGGAGCGGGGAGGGGGGAATCCATCTACTGAGCCGACCTGTGACAGTCTCACAGTCTCATTGTTACAGGTCGGCTAGAACTACAAGGAAAGACACTCATACTGTATGTCATCATGTGATATGCATGCATGAGTAAGGACTGCCCAGCACCGGAGAAAAAAAAAGCAGGAATTGGGCCCACAATGTCACTTGATGAAACAGAAAATGCCTGGAATAAAGGGAAATATCCTAAAGAATGAGTGGGGAGGGTGAGTGCCAAGGGAAGGGGGGAGGAGGTGTTTGTGGTCTACCTGGAGTTGGCCTTTTATGGAGCATTTTTTTAGTGGTGATATTTGGTGCACAGTCTGTTGGGGGAATCCAACTATATAATGAGCTTGAGGCGGATGCCCTAATTTCGCACAAGTGTATATTGTGAAGGTCGATGAGCTGGATGGCAGAGACTAGTTATTCATTCCAAATTAAGTTAGCGTTCGCCTGACTTGCAAATTTCACACCTCATCGGGACATCGCAGTTGTTCCTAGTGTGAACATTA